GTAGAGTTTCTTACTGATTCACAAAATGAGGACCAAGTAGACTGACTTCTTACAATGATGAGAGGACTTGTCTTTGGTTTCTATAACTGTTTGCTCAATCTAAAGCAGGACCCTCCCCCTAAAATGCCATACCACCTAGGCACACATTTAAATATCATTTCAGAGACATCTCAAACTCTCTCCAAAACATCCCAGGAGTCCTAGACTCTGTGCGTCCCTGAGCCCATGTTAGCAACCTTTGAACTCGTGTCTCAGGTGGTGTCTCCTAGAGCACATGGTTATTTAGTGGCTCCAAATACTCACCATGGTCTTCAACATGAATGTGTGTGTGTGTGTGTGTGTGTGTGTGTGTGTGTGTTCAGCAGCAAATTACATCCCAATGTGCTGATATTAATGATCATGCCTAGTTCCCACATTTTGGTGTTTAAATACCATTTGCCACTAAAATAAACTAAGGCTCCTTGGAGAAGCGGCTGATTCCAGGCGTGAAGCAGAGAATTTTCAAGGTAAACCTGAGACAATGGTATATCCCATAAAGCAAAGACGTAAGGACACAGAGATTAATGAGGTCTGATCGAAAAGACTAGAGACAAGCTTGAAGGAGCTCCCCCGGGCTACATTTGGGCCAACTCGAGTGCCCTCCCGTGCAAAATAACAATAATGACTGCTAGCTTTGAAAGACATAGAATCCCATAATCCCTGCATCCATAAGGATACCCTAAAAGAGAGCGCAAAATACAAAACAAATCATAGCAACAGAGCCTCCTTTGACACCAGCAGAGGCAACTGCTGCCGACAGAGAAAGCGTGGAGAATAACCCTGCCTTTTCCGCAGAGAGTCCAGATCTTCCTTTTTGGAGAGTCAAAGCGCTTTGTCGTGGAGGAAAGCCAGCTAATGGATGTGGAAAGAATGATGCAATTAGGAAATCACTATTTTGCAACTCCTAATGAGATAATTGTTTCAAGCAAGACGCCACCACCCCCACCAACCCCGTGGAGGCCAAAAGTTTTAGATGAAAGGTTGGTGGGGGGCTGGGTGTCTGCAAGGAGCCAGAGCATCACCCCAAAGGCCACTTGAGTCATAAAGGGGAAAACATAGCTTTATAACACACAGAGCTGCCTGTCACCGCCTTATCCCAGCAATCAAACGCATCATCATTAGTAGTAGGACGATCAGCCATTAGTCACCTCCTACAACCCAAAGTGCTCCCAGCACCCACTAGGAAATGTCCCTGCCAGGAAGCTGAGCATCCATCCATCAGCCCTCTAAATGGAACTCCCAGTTTGGGGGAGTCGAGGGGAAGGAAAAGCAAGGTCACGCCCCACAAGGAAGCCAGCAGAACAAAGTGGGACGTAGGACACTGTACAGCTCAGCATCTCTCCAACACGTTTGTGTTCTTGGGGGCGGGGGGCTGAACTGCTCCAGATTTGAGGGGGCATGTTAGAGACACAACAACCACATGAACTGCACAGTCCTTGACGCATCTCTGGTTCGGAGGGGGGACATTACGAGAGACATTTGGCGGGCAATTGAAGAATTTGAATATGGGCTGCGTATTAAATGATATCATGAAACAACGGCTAGTTTTAGTCGATGGCATCACGGTTCCGTTGGAGTTTGATCTAGAGTCCTACTGAACTCTTTACCGATAAAGGTGCTGCTATGGATTTAATTGTGCCCCTAAAAGATGGGTTGAAATCCTGATCCCCGATTCTGTAAACATGGCCCTGTGTGAAAACACAGGTTTCCTTTCCTTAAATGTTAGTGAGGTCCGGTCAGCATAGAGTGGGTCCTAAACCCAATCACCTCTGAAAGATAAAAGGCATGGACTAGACACGCAGTCACACACAGGGGGAAGAGGAAGGCAGACTGTGGAGACAGACGTATCCACAAGCCCTGGAGCCCTGAGGATGGCAAGCTAGTAGAAGCTGAAATAAACAAGAGAGGACCTTCCCCTAGAGCAGGGGTCCTCAAACCTTTTAAACAGGGGGCCAGTTCACTGTCCCTCAGACCCGTTGGAGGGCCAGACTATAGTTGAAAAAAAAAAACTATGAACAAATTCCTATGCATACTGCACATATCTTATTTTGAAGTAAAAATAACAAACAGGGCAAAAACACCCGGCGGGCTGGATAAATGTCCTCGGTGGGCCGCATGTGGCCCGTGGGCCGTAGTTTGAGGACCCCTGCTCTAGAGCCACACCCTCAACGTCAGTGTTTTACATTTCTGTTCTTTCAAGGGGCTCTTGGCAAAATGTAGGTCCTGCTTCAGTCTATCTGGGGTGAGGTGCAAACTCTCCATAGGATGTCACTCTGGAAAGAGCTGGTTCGAAGGCCTGGACAAACTCGAGCCAGCACTGCTACCACGTGGCTCCATCGATCTCTCTCCCTCTGCTTGCTGAATTGTGGCATCTTAGCCAGCCAGCTCTAACAGAAATGCCACAAGGGGCTGGCTTTGAAGAACAGAAATTAATTTTTTCACAGTTAAGGCCGTTTGGAGTCCACACTCAGGATGTGGTTCTCAAGAGAAGTGCTTCTCTGTCTAGCTCAACTCCTAGTGACTGGCTTCCTTCAAGGTCCTGCCTTGTAGGAACCTCTGCCTCTGTTGTCGCCTCCCTTTTCCCGCCGTGTGTGTCTCTGTATCTATTCTGTACACATAGGAATCACCTGGGATCCTGTGAAAACGGAGATGCTGACTCAGTCTATCTCAGTGCAAAGGCAGTGGGTCAAGCCAGAATGAATCAGAAGGAGCCCTGGCTGGTAGGTATATTGGGTTTCACTTTTCTGTACCTTTGAAATTTTCCAACAGACATTGTTGGCTTGCTTTCATAAAGATCATCTACAAGAACAGGTAAGCCATGGTTTTAATACACACCTAAGCAAACAAGATGGTTTCCTGTTGCTTGCCAACTCCAGTCACGTGAGGACGACTTCATGACAGATTTTAGGAGAAAGCCCAGGCTACACGCAGGCTCAACCAGGAAGAAATTCTGTGGTCGATTAGCAATGTCTGCCACGGATGTGCGATTAGAAAGGGGTGCCGTGCGCGCCGGATGTTTGCCACGCTTCATCGAAAGCATAGTCCTTCCGCCCTGCCCACCAGGTGATCTTCCACGAGGGAGACGGGATAGGATGTGAGTTGGAAGAATATCTCTAGATTTAGGAAACATCTTTTTTTTACTCAGACTGTTAGAACACACGCACCTAGAAGCTGTGGCTAGCCTTCAGCTATCACAGGAGAGGAATGCCGGGTTCAGAAAACGCATCTGTCATTGTCCTTGGACCTGCCTCATGCTTTGGTGTTGCCTGGTTCTCTAAGTCATGTGTCTTCTGAATAGGTCCGACCTGCCTTCACCAAGGAACAGGGAGAAGGTACTCCATCCATGTGGGGGTTGGGCTGGAAGGAAGCAACAGCCAAGAAGTCTCAGCTACAGAGCCAGACAGAAGCTAGCCAACGAAGCAAGACAACTCCCCCGACAGCAAAGAAGCAGCTAGGACTACTGCCCTCTTTCCCTAGGGCTGGGCCTTGTCAGGGCCCGGGGAGAAACCGTCACTGAGCAAAGCGACCAGAGAGTGGTGGCAGCACCAGTCAACAATTATCCAGCCAAGTCACACCTGCTACTGTGTTGCAACTGCCACTACACGCTTCTTCAAGGATGTTCTGGTGGACGGAAGATGCACCGAGCTCAGGCTACTGAACCATCGAGAGGACTGGGACCCAGGACAGAATGGCGGTGACCTTGTCAGAGGTAAGCCTGCCCTTGGAGCACCACGGGCAAGTTGGGGGCCAGCCTCCTCCCCCACGGCCAAGCCGGTTGCCCTGTAGGCCCAGGCCTTGGGGGCCAAGGCCTCTTGGACCTTGTGATGGGTCGGGGACTCTAGAGCAGAATCGGGGAAGCTTTCTGAACCGAGAGCCTTCATTAAGCAAGAGCAATGTTTATTTGGCGAAGGCGATGACTTCCAGATGTTAGCGGAGCGAGGGATCTGGGCTCGGCATCTCTGTCATGGATGGGGAAGGAACCAAAGAATCTGGCTTTGCTGGCCTGTCCAGATGGCTGCCGCTCGGCAGTTCTCGGCGGATAAATCATCATCGCCCGAGGCTCCTCCCAGGGCACTTGACAGCCAGGGCGGCTGAGGAAGCAGAGCGGGGGGCCACGGGCCACAGATCAGAAAACTGAGGGGCACGGTCTGGACCACTCTACAGCTCAGACCCCCAGACTCCATCCAGACCTTGCCTTCCTGGGGATTTTCCCTGGAGGGAACTCCTATTCTTCAGGGGGCTTCAGTGGAGCTGGGAGAGGGGGAGGTGGATCCTGGGCCCCACACAGAGCATGAGGGGCTCAAGTGACAGCACTTACTCAGCCTCACTAAGGGTACCCGATGTGGCTCATGAGCTGTTTTCTTCCCTGTTACCAGGCAGCAACACTCCTTAAACCAACTGGGCACATGAGAAAGCTGAGGCACAGAGAGGCCAAAGACAGTGCTCAAGGTCACACAGCAGGTAGGAGGCAGAGTCGGGGCTGGAAGCCAGGCGTCGTGGCATGCAAGCCTCAACCACTCCACCGCACGGCCTCCCTCCGGGGCGGGTCTCATCAGAACCACCCGCTCAGAAGCTCCTGTGGCCCTCCTTCCTGTCTAAGAAAGGGTTCCCCTTCCCCCTCACAATTATGGGGACTGTCCCTGCTGGTGCTGGACATGGGAGGGGCCCTGAGCCCCCGGGGACTGATGCCAGCGGTGTGTGTTAATGGAAAGAAAGGGCAGAGGAGATGTGCTCCCGTTGCAGTCCCGCAGCGAGGACTTCCAGGACCCCGGGGAGGGCGCAGGCTGATCCGCTTTCTCCAGCTCTTCCGACCCAATCCCCAATCCCCGACAGTGAGCTGGGAGCAATGCTGGGGGATGCTAAACTGGGACCAGGTGGGTTTGGGGATCTAAGTCTTGATCAGAGCTGCGCACCTTTGGGACAGGCTCAGGGGCGCCCCGCCTGCCTCTGCCATGGTTCTGTCTGTGCAACCCCCAATTCTCCCTCCCAGAAGGAGTGGGCCTTCACCAACCTGTAGAGACCCCGAACCCTGAACAGGACTCCAGCTACACAGCTGGAGAAAGCCGAATGATCCAAACCATTGGGAACCAAGCTGAACCATGCCCTGCTCCGAGCTGAACACCTGGGCTGCCCCGGGCTGGCAGCAGGCGCAGGAGCAGAAAGGACAGTGCCGGGTGTGCAGTCCACAGACAGACAAGGATTGCATATGATTCCATCATACGCACTAACTAGACTAAGCCAAATCTCACGTGCTTCGGATGTGTCAACAGGAAAGGCCAGTCCCTGGAGAAGGACGTCGTGCTGGGGAACGTGGAGGGAGACCCTCGCCAAGATGGGGTGCCACAGGGACTGCAACAATGGGTTCAGACAGAAGAACAACTCTGAGGATAGCCTGGGCCTGGGCAGGGATTTATTCAGGTGTGCATGAATTGGAAGCCAACAACAACAATAAGCAACCACGTAGCGACCAGAACTTGTTCATGGCAGCGGGGTGGGGGTGGGGGGGCGCTAAGGGGGATGGGGGCAGGGAGGCTACTGATGAACGGATGCCTCCCTTCTGTGTGGGGTGATGTACAACTTTTAAAAACAGGAGTCAGATCTATGTATAGCCTCCTCCCTGGGGGATGGACAGCAGAGAAGAGGGCAGGGGGAGACGTCGGACAGTGTAACATATGACAAAATAATAATAATTTATGAATTAGGAAGGGTTCATGAGGGAGGGGGTGCGGGAGGGAGGGGGAAAAATGAGCAACCGATATTAAGGGCTCAAGTAGAAGGCAAATGTTTTGAGAATGCTGATGGCAACAAGTGCTGATGGCAATATGTGCTTGACACAATGGATGGATGTATGGATTGTGATAAGAATTGTACGACCCCCAAGAAAAACAATTAAAAAAAAACAAACAGGTGTCTGGGTGGTTGCTTATGATGAAAACCATGAGTGTCACTGAATTGTGTTCTTAAAACGGCAAACTGTTTTGTTATGTGTAGTGTGTACATAAGCACATATTTTTTAACATGAGAAACGTAAAAAAACAAAACCAAACCGCATTTACATGCCACGCCCTCCTAAGGGCAATGGTCCGCCCGGCACTTGTGTGGTTTGGGGTTCTATGCATCCTCTGAAGAGCCCTTCTCCCGGCCGGAGCCCCCTTGGCTCTGGTTAGGGTACTATCCACCCCTCCTCAAAGCATGACCACAGCTCTGGCTGCTCCCGCTTCTTTCCCAGGCTTCCCAAACGTCTGGGAACATCTGGAAGGGGCCAGATCCAAGGCATTAAGCTGATGAAGGACAGAGGCCCATGTCCAGGCTAGAGAAGGACCCTGACCCTCCCCCAGAAGCAGCCAAGCCTGGTCGCCGGCAGCCCCAAGTCAGGTTCTTGGTGTAGGGCAGGCCCCTCCGTCAAGACGCAGTGGCTCCAGCCCAGGGAGAAGCCAGGAGCTACAAGCCCCAGCGCTCGGCAACCTTTCCCCTGCCGGCTAACCCGCCTGGCTGCCCTGTGGGCTTGAACTGAATGGCAGGAATTGAGTTCCCATGCAAGTGACCCGGATCAGTTTCCCCCAAAGCAAGGACCAGGTCATCTCCTTGCTGAGAAAGTCTCCTCCCTCCCCCTGGCTTGGCGGCGCCATGCCAGGGTAAGCTGACGTGCCAAAAAACAAAGCCTAATGTGTCGCAGAAAACCATAAACGCCATCTGTCAACAGGGAGCTAAGGCATGCTAATCTAAACACGGCCCTGGAGACGGTGCTCTGCAGTTTATGAATACACAGCACAGAAAACCCTCGCCTGGAGACGACAACGGGCCAACTCCAAGCCGCAGCTGGCCTCCGCGACGCTGCCTCTCCCCATCCTCTGCTCAGGGACCCGCACTCAAGAGACCCCCGTCCATCGGTCCCCAGCTACTGACCTCTCCCCTGACTGTTGTACTAGCGGCTGGGAACCCAGTGGCCAACGGATCCCACAGCGCCCCTGCCCTTGGCGAGCTACAGCCTAGTGATGTTAAATCATTGTGTCATTGTAAAATTACCACGCTGTGAAACTGGGGGGCGGGGGGGCTGGAGGAGGTATGAAAGGAGATCAAATCTTGCTCGGAATTCAAGGAAGGTGTGGTGGAGGACGTGGTCTTTCAGCCCAGACTGGTAAGACAGGAAGGGATCAGAGAAAGTGGATCAGGAAAAAACACACAAGCCATGAACCAAGGGACATAAACAGCCAAGAGGCCAGAGTAAACAACAGGGAGGACACAAAAGATTCGATCGGAGAGGAGGAGGAGGATGGGGTGCCATCAGGGCCTTGGCATTCTCCAAGGGGCAACAGGGAGGGAATGGGGGGTGGGTGGGAGGGTTGCTTTGGAGGGACTCAGGGGTGTTCAGGCATCAGCTCACACCAACTCATGAAAAGCAGCTGTTGGCATCACCCCCCAACTCCTCATGCAGTGACTTGGTGACAGCAGCTCGCAGCCGGCCAAGGTGGGAATATTCACACCATGGCAATGGGTGCCTGTTCTTTGGCGCTCAACATTGACCAGTGTGCCCCCAGGAGAATCCCTCTGGCTGCTAGGAAGGAACGTGCGTGAGCACGAGAGAGCGCGCAGGGAGCACGGTGAGCCAGTGGAGCCACCTCCAACCCCCCAAGCTCCCAGCAACCCGGCCAGAATCCAGTGGTCCCTAAGTCCCCTGGCTGTGGGTGGATTCTCAGGCCTATACTTCTCCCAAACCTTGCCAGACCCAGTTCTCCAGCCTGGACTGGCTGTCCCATTCAGACCAAGAACTAGGTTGCTCCTTTGACCCTCCGTCTCTGTATCTGCCAGATGAGCTGGGAGCACCTCCCTCGGGTGGGTGGGAAGGTTGGTGAAAGGATGCAGGGAAAGCCCCCCGGTTGCCTCTAGGAAAAGCCACAGGTAAGCAGCGTCAACCCCAAGTGCTCTTCAACCTCGGAGCAAAGCTGTCCTGGGACACAAGGTACCCAGGGTCCCCACCATCCCGAGGCTCAGGCGATCCCTCCCTGACTCACCTCAGACACTTGCTGCTTGTCCAGGTGGAACACCTGCCCGGAGCTGGTGGCAGCGATCTCCTCGAAGGCCAGGTAGCCGGGATGAGTGCGGTCCCCACAGTCCCCCGTGAGCACAAAGACCACCTGCAAGGGCATACATACAACCCGGCTCACGGCTTCCCCAGCCCCCTGCTTCAGAGCCAGGCAGGGGTGGCCTGGGGGAGGCCTTTCCTCTCTCTGGCATTGGGGGACCCACCTGTAAAATGGGACATCCAGAGTACCCAAGAGGGGCTTAAGTGGAGAGGAAATGTTTTGAGAATGATGAGGGCAATGAATGTACAAATGCGCTTTACACAATGGATGGATGTATGGATTGTGATAAGAGTTGTATGAGCCCCTAATAAAATGATTAGAAAAAAAAAGTCCCCGAGAAGGGCCTGGGGGTGCAGTGGTCACTCGGGCTACAAACCACAAGGACAGCAGTTCGAAACCACCGGCAGCTCTGTGGGAGAAAGACTGGGCTTTCTACTCTCATAGAGTTACCATCCCGGAACCCACAGGGGCAGGTCTACCCTTCCTGTAGGCCGCTGAGTTGGCATCGACTCGATGCCAGTGAGGTGGTTTGGGTTTACCCAGAGCTTGTGCCCATCAAGCACTCAGCACAGAGGTCAGTGCTCGGGTCATGCCCTGGGAATGGGGCTGTTACTCCCCACCTGCCTCTGCCAGAACAGAGTGAATGAGGCAGAAAGGAAACCGGTTTGTCTGAATGGTCCCTGGAGCCTACAGAGTTGGAACTCCCAAGTCCAGACTGTTCTAGATGCAAGCACAGACCAGCTGCCCAGCCGTCCAGGCCTTCACCCTGGGAAGTCCCAGGGCCTCGTTGTTCCTCTCCCTTCCTCGGCTCACATCCCCTCCCCTGGCCCGCAAGCCTCGCTGGAAAGCAGCAGGAAGCCAACCCCAGAAAGCCCTGAGGATGTGAGCTGCAGAGACGAGGAGCAGAGGCCGCGCCAGGAGGAAGACGGATTGGGCTGCCTCTGACAGGGTGTAGAAGAGGAAGGGTGGTGTGGTCTTTGTCAGAGCACGGCTCACTGGAGGGGCCAGGAGGCCGGCCGACGGCGGGCAGGGGGCCCGGAGGATGAGCACACACTTGGAACCACGGGATCTGCTGGGCGCCCTCCCCTCCCTGGTGGACAGGCTGTGGTCATCGAAGAAAAGCACCTGACCCCTGCCTCCAGGGTGCGTGAGAGATCCCAGCTTCCTCGGGACCCCCTGGACCCCCTCAGTGTCAGCCCCCAAGACCAGGCGGCTCACCTGCGACTGTTTGAGCTGCAGGAGCTGCAGCACCTCCTCCTTCCGGTGGTAATCCTTGGCACGGGCGTCGGAGAAGACGTAGATGAAGGAGCCTGGGTTGGCCACCTCCACGGCGGCCTTGATGGCCCCCACACTCATCTCCGGGCAGTCTCCACCTCCCTGCAGGACAGGGACAAGTGTGCCGCTGCCACCCAGCTCCACCAGGTGGGAACCACCCAGGGTGGCCTCCTCAACCATCGGAGTGAGTGCACCCCCAGGCAGGCCCCAGGCACCCCTTGTCCTAAGACGCAAGGCAGTAGGCAGCAGCATTAGCTTAGGATAAGCAGCAGCATCCACCCATCCATCCATTCATCCGTCCACACATACATCCATCCATCCATCCACACATGAGGGGCGTGATCCCCGCCCTCCTGGAATTGAGCACGGGAGGCAGACATGTCACCAATGAGCACACACGATTACTTAATTACCATTGTGATGAGTGATGCAGTGTGTGGAGGGTGGGGGGTGAGGAGGGAGCCGCCAGAACTCTTAGAGAGGGCCGAAGAAATCGCCCACATGTTCTGGTCAACCGAGGCTTAAGGGTCTGAAGGGGTCGGCGAGGAGTGGGAGGGGTGGGCGTGGAGGGAGAGGAAAGCACCTCTAGTCATCTATGGAAGTCCTTGCAGCCTGCCACGGAACCAATTTCAAGTCAATAGGCACTGTCGCTCCCTGCCCACCCTCACAGGTGGGGGTCTTCTGAGAGCAGCCCCCCACCCCCCTTTGTCTTGCCCAGGCCGGTGCCTCCAGCAGCAGCGTTTGACAAGGCGGCTTCTCAGCAAATGTCCCAGCTCTCTCCTCGATGCACGCAGTCACCCCACTGTGACTTCCTGCGGGTGTCCGACCCCGTTCTAAGCCTGGGGAGGGTGGGGTGTCTGGTAGTGAACCAGATAAACCTGGGGCGTCCCTGCCTCCAGAAAGCTCAGGGTTGCAGTGGAGATCGGGGAGGGGGACACCAACACTGAGCCCAGGTGCTCCGTGTGTCAAAGCCAACAGATGGCCCCAGGCAGCTGACCCTGGCTCCAGCCTGGTTATAGGTGACTTAACTCAGAGCCCCACTCCCCCCTGCAGCCACCATGCGCACTGTCAAGTGGGCACCAGCGTCTCCTGCCACCACTTTCTTTGTTCATTCACTGCATTAAAAAAGGACCTCTGGGGCCAGGGAGAGGGGTTACCATAGGGGCTCCGTCCCCTGAATAAATGGAAGAAGAGCCAGCTGAGCAGAGCTGGGCGGCAGGTCCTGGCAGGTGGAGGAAGCCCCCACAGTACCTTCTGGGCTCAAAGGGACAACACGGAAGAGGACCCGCAGCCAGGACAGGGGTGAGCGCACCTGTACGTAGAGTTCTCTCAGCTCCTTCTGAAATACCGCTGGGTCTGCCGTGAGGGTCACTGGGCCAATATCTGCTCAGAAGAAAGAGTGGGGTTTGGTGGGCTGGGGCTCCCAGACTGTGGTTGTTCCATCACTTTGTGTCAACTTGAAGTTTGTGTCAACTACACTGTAACAGTGTAGGGGTGGTCTTCAACCTGTCGATCAGGTCCCAGCCTGATGGTGCCTCCCTGTGGGCGTGGCCTTCTCCTAAGGAGGGCCCTGGGAACCTCCCCCCACCCCTCTCTCTGCCTTCACCTTCCTGCTGGCTGACCCTGCTTGCTGCCAGGGCCCTGTGACGCGTCCACTGCCACTGGATCCACACGACTTTGCACCCACCAGCCTGTGATCTCCCAGCATTCTGCATCATTGCATGTGGTTGTGTGAGTCTGAAGAGGGACTGATGGACTAGTTACAGGTTTGAGTTGGACTGGAGTGGGATGTGTTCTTGATGTATAATTACTTCTTGACATAAAGCTCTTTCTTGTACATATTTGAGTGTCTCTGGGCTTGTTTCTCTACTCAACCCAGCCTAACACACAGCTCCCACGGGCCAGGGCAGCATCTGCATGATTAGCAATCAGAGGAGAGAGGAGAGACCTGTGCCAGAAGGACCCTCACAAAGGGAGAAGAGATACGGAAGCAGCATCCAGGACTGCCCTCCCAAGGAAGGGGAGGAAATTCAGACCACTCTGTCCTCTGTCTGGCTCCAAGCCAGGGTCTCAAGGTCAAGGGGAGTCCAGAGATGAGGGTAGGAAGCAAACTTCAATGCCTCCCTCTCCAACGGTTGTGACCCAGATTCCCTCGGGAGCCTCCCTCTACCAGCGCATCCACCCTTCCTTTCAGAGGGAGAGTAATTCTAGGAAGATAAAGCAACAGAGAAACAAATGAATGGTCAAAATGAACCTCAGGCCAATTGCCCAACGCCAGACTGATCAGTCAAAGCCGAACCTGCTGGAAACTCAATGTGCACGGTGAGCTTCCTCTGAAAGCCCCAAAAACAGGCAACACACAAGTCGGCGAGGTCACGGAGCAACGGGACCGCTCATGCACTGCTGACGGGGCGCAAAATGGCTACATCACTTTGGAAGGCGACTGGAAGCTTCTTTAAAATTGAACACCCCCCCAAGATGTGATCCAGACATCCTGCCTCTCAGCAGAGGCTCAAGGCAAATTGGGAATGAACGCACAAGTTCTCATGAAGACTTTCACACGAATGTTGGTTTCCAAGGGCCACACACGGGAGCCACCCAAATGTCCGCCAGCAGGGGGACAAGCCAACTGCGGGCTACTTAGAGCATCGAGTGTCACACAATCTGAGCACACAGGAAGCTCGGTGTCCACAAATTGCCACACAGAAGATGCCAGACAGAGAGCACACCCTGCAGCATGCCACATACAGGGCAATCAATCAATGAAGGAGGAAGAATCAGAAGAGAGGTTGCCTGGGGGTTAGAGGAGGTTGAGTGGGAAGCGATACAAAGAACTCCTCTTTGTGAACGGGTTCCACGGATGTATCCATTCGCCAACGTATACAGTTAAAAGGTGTGCATTTCAATTAAGGTAAATTGTATCTTATACAAAGGGAACGATGCAAAAATTATCCCTGAGTGGGGGGACAGAGTGGGGGGAGGTCTCGATGGAGCCAGGACGGCAGGTTTTTTATATATATATCATTTTTATGTTGCGTGATGGCGACCCGGGGATTCATTAGACTGTTCTGCTCAGTCTGTATATATTTGACATTCCCCGTAAGAAAGCGATGTTCAAGACTAGTATAAGTGACGATCATGGCCAACACAAGCATGGTCAAGCATGCCCTGAAAACCATACTAGAACTCCAACTAGCCCTGGGGCTATGGACACAGGGGATTTTACACAATTTCAGAGATTTCTTAGGCAAACGTTTAAGTCCTTGGTGAACTCTAATAATGAGCTATTTTTAGTTTATCAACTCTAAACCCCTATCACCCTGGGGGAAAAAAATCCCTCTATATGCTCATTATTCAGTAGGCCCAGTCCTTGGCAAGAGGATCCTGGGGGATTATCCAGAATTCACCCACAATTATCAAGGATAAATCACTGTGGGAGAGATCCCCACCCCTCTGCTCTGTAATTATCCATCACCTCCTCCACCCCTGCCCCGCCTGCTCTGATCTTTACCAAGCCCTTCTCCCCCTACCACCCAGAGAGAGCTTCCTTTTCGCTGATCCCCGTAGCAGCTAAGTCAGCCTAAAGACAGCAGCTAGTCCCTCAAACAGAGAGAGTGGCATCCTGGCTCCATCCTTCCCCGGCTACGGGGCCTCGGAGATCTCACCTCACTGCCCCGAGCCTCCGTTTTCTCATCTCTAAAACGAAGAGTCAGAGCAACACCATCTCCCACATGGACTCCTCACTGGAGAACTCAGGGAGGCCCAGTAGGCAGGCGCTTAACACGGAGCTTGGTACATGGCGAATCTAGGCAAATGAGAGCCGGCCAACTTTAGTTGGCCATGCTCTAGCAGACCGTCAGAGAAGGGTTCCCACTTAGTATGAGGTCCTCGAATTCTTGTCAACTTTGCCCATTTCTTTATTACGTTACATTGACACATAGGGTTGCCGTCTGGTTGCCGATTCCATGGGTGTCAAAGTAGCACTGAACGGGATGGGGTTTCCGATGGCTCGGTGTTTTCAGAAGTCGGCCGCCAGGTTGTTCTTCCCAGAGTGGACTGGAACCACCAACCTCGTGTTCAGCAGTGAGTTAACCCACTAACTCCGAATGAAGTCTCTCCACTGCCAACAGGATTCATAGCGCAGTAGCTGTACTGACATTTATTAAGCACTTAGCACCGGCTTGCAGGCTAAAGAGCTTCCCATGGACTAACTTACTGAATCTTTCCTGGTGCCTCGGAGGTCCTAGTCTTAGCCATATTTTGCAGAGGAGGAAATGGAAACCCAAGAGAGATTAGCTAACTTGCCGATGACACACAGCCAGTCGGTGGCAGAATTAGGATACAAGCCCAGGTCCGCACAACTCCAGAACCCAAACTCTGAACTTCTGTGCCCAAGAAACATGCGTGGAAATTCCTGATACACAGAAACAAAAGGGGAGGGGTGGAATTACCAGAGATAGTCATATATATATATATGACTTTGAAAATCTTGATGCACATTTGAAAGCATATAAATACATCCTACATCAACGTGTACTATTTTAAGCAGATTATTTTTACTGTCGCAAAATTAACATACTATTTTTAAGCTGAACTTTTTTTCACTGAGCAGCACTTGGGAACATCTTTGCAGGAGGTTGAATAGTTAGTGCCACATCACGGTTTTTTAAAGGCTCCGACGTATCTCTTTTGTTGAAATGCCTGATAATGGGCTGTCCAATCTCATATGGCTTGGTTTCTAATTTCGGTTATAACGAACTGTGTTACTAAGATCACCTTTGTAGCCACCGTCATTAGGCCCTAGTTGCATTGCTTCCTGGGGATGGCTTCCCATAAGTAGAATGACAGGGCATCTGACTGGCCAATGTCAAGGGCATTTGACAAGATGCAAATTCAGGAATCTCCTCGCTGTCTTCCCCAAGCCCAGATACACCTGCCTCCCACGCCTCCTCCCTGCCAATGTCCAAGAAAGTACCCTTGCTCACGGTTTTAGTCACAGTGCCCCAGCTCAAGCATTGCCATGAAGGGCCAACGCCTGCCAACCAAGTACAGCCTCTGTCACTCCTAGCTCTCAAATCTGGTCAGCCGGATCGCCTCTCTCTGGATCTATCAGTAATGCCCACTGCCCCGTGCGGTTCCCACCAGAGCTAGATTGACCACGTTCTCCCCAGCCACAGAAGACAAATGAAGTGGGCCACATGGGTTTTCATAAATAAAAGATTCTCTGGCTAGGAGGGTCAGCCTTTCCTAAGGTCTATGAGCTGCCTACGTGAGGGGTTGGAAGTTGTTCTTTCTTTCGTGGGAGGACAGTAAGAGTCAAAGGGACATGGCTAAACTAGACAAGACACAGTGGTGGCCACCAATAGCCACTCTCTCTGCATTTTTTCTTTTAGGCTTTGCTTTTTGTTTTTTCTTTTGTTTTGTTTTACTAGATTGATGCGTTAGTCTGGGTACATTAGAGAAACAAATCCACAGGAACTCAGATGCATAAGAGAGAGTTTTAGATAAAGGTTAAGTGCACATCAAGAAAACAACCCAACCCAGTGTTGCTCAAGCCCAGAAGTCCAACATTAGCCCATATGTCCAACACCAATACACAAAGTCCTCCTCCATCTCACAAAACACACACTATGAGACCGACTGCAGGAGGAAAGCTGAGTCAGTGAACGAATAAGCATCTCAGCACTAGCAGGGGTCTCCACACGGCTGCTCCAGCACCCAGGGCTGCATCGGGGTAGGTCCATGTGACTTCTCCTCAGTGATATCTTGCAGGAAGTGAGCTTTGCCTGCTGAAGCAGGAAATTGGCTAAGGAAGCTGCACCCTGGTCCGATCATCAGAAAGCAAGAGACCCGAGAACTAGAAAGGCGAGCCTCACCGAGCCATTTACCCCTCCACCTTTCAATTAACCCCACATGTGTTTATCGGCCAGGTTAACTATCTCAATTGAGAAACCCAAAATCTAGGTGGCTGAGTCTGTGGCTGAAAGGTGGGGAGGGAGTGGCTGACCCATCACCAATATGTCCTTGAAGATCCCACAGCAAAGGAGGCAACAGGACGGGGCAGGATATGTAGTACGGGTCCCCAGGTGCTCCTCATGGTGCCCCTCCTCCCTCCTGGCCAGGCATGGCTAGTCTGCACTCAGAGCTCCAACCCCATACATCCCAATGTGATTGCGATAAGAATGGAGGGTGGATGAGGGGAGGAATGGTGGCAGTGAGGGAGGTGGGGGGGGAAACCACAACTTCTACCCACTCATCATGTAGCTGGCATTCTTTTTTCCCCAACAGCTTCATGGGCATAGAATTCACCTACACAATTCAATAGTTCAATCCCATCGAGAGGAGTTGTACAGTCCTCAGTGCAATCTGCTGGGGAAGGTTCT